GGACAAAAGACGCGGTTTTGTGTTACCCCCCTTTTCATGCCTTTCCTATTTCTGATGGCTTTTTTTTTTTTTTGAAGTAGAAGCGGTTGTGTTTGCGAGGAGCTTTAGCCACTGAGGCCTGCAAACCTAACGAAGGCAAAGCACCGTGCTCTGAAGGCACGTCAACGCTTCTGAAAAATTCTCAGCCGCAGAGGGACTGCAGTAGTAAAACAGCAAAAATGCCCTTGTTATAACAAGGAGAATGCCTCTCAGCGCAGTGACTGGGAGAATTCCCAAGGTGAGAAGGCACCGCCGGTCCGCAGTCACTTGAGCACGCGGTGGCGGGTATCCCGCAGCCGCTCTGCCCGCGAGGGCCAGCCACCCGCTCCGGCCCCCGGCAGGGAGCCGGGTCGCAGCTCCATGCCCGGGGACACGGGTCTGCGGGTATCACTCTCGCACGGCCAGCGCAACGCCTGGACACCGCGTCCTGCAAAAGCTGTCAAGGTGCTCATCCCCTACGCTGCTGGTTTGCAGTTCAGGGCGTTAAAAATTATACAGAAAATGCACTTTCTCCGTTTCAGACAACTAGCAAAAGTAATTTTAACAAATTTTATTTTCCCTCCTCAAAGTGAGAACATTTTGCAGGAAACACAGGACAGCATGGGACTTCTTCGACTGGCTGTGAATTAAAACATGGTATTTGCTTTTCTGCAGTCATGCTTTTAGCTTGAGAAGGGCAAAGAACGTTTCTGCTGAGCCAAAGGCCTCACAAAACGCCATCTGGTAGTAGCAGTAAATAATCCAAGAGACTTTTAGGAAAAAAAAAACCCACAAAACAAAGCTGACGCAGGTAATAGAGATTTATAGACTATGTGATCGTTATTGAGTATCTCTGGACTTTACAAATCCTTCCCGACTCTAATGTATGTACGATGTTTCAATTGTATCTAAAAGCTGCAAGATGCTCAGCTTGTCGGGACCCAGCAAGTTTGGTGTCCTGCAGGATCTGGGGCCTTCGTGATGGCTTTGGTTTACACTGTAACAGGCTGAGCTGGTGTTGTGAGACTGCTGGGCACAGGAAAGTGAGGGAAGAAGCTGCAGAGTAGAAAAAACTGTTGCTATAATCATGTATTTTTGCATGGTTTGGTTTTTTTGTGTGCTTTAGACTTTAAATTGTACAGATATTACCTGATCAGCTTGTAAAGACAGCTAGAAAAAAAAATATCTTTGCCAATTAGTCTATTGCTAAATACATTCTAAAGCACTTTGCGAAGTGCCAAATGTTTTCAGTTTTACAAAAGCATAATGAGGCGCGCTCTTATCGCTGCTTCTGCCCAGACAAGTTGAGGCCAATTCCGAGCTTGAATAGGTGAAGTACCTGTTGCAGATCATCTCCACAAGGGATCTGGTGCTGGTGTTTTGTTGCGATCAAAGTGTCTGACTGGGAATACATCTGGGCTAGACAGGGGAAAAGCAGACTCTCTTCTAATGGTCTGGCGTTGCTGTTGAAAGGGATCCACCTCACCGAGTATCGGTGGCACCATCGACTCGGAGGATGGGGCCGGGCAAGTGTTTTGCTTGCCATGTATCAAGGATTCAAGAAGCTGCTTTTCTTATTACGAAAATGTCAGTCCAACCCAGGTTTAAAGAAAATGATCTTGTGGGAAGACCCCTGTGAACGCAGCCGCCGTGCTGGCACTGGGGGCTGCCGGAGGCTGGG